CTAGTCAGAAGCTACAAGGAAAGGCACTTTAGAAATCAGCCTCTTGAGTATTACACTCTGCAGGTATTAAACTGCAATAAAAATACTATTCTGCACATGAGAAAATGGATCTGTAAAAGCAACCTAGTTAAATCACTTCATTGCAGATGAAGTAGATTCTGACACCAGCTATACCTGTGTTTTGTCTTGTCTATGTTATCAGTTCTCAGGGAATACATGTCCTCTTATATCTCCATTCATATATGTTCACATACATAATAATTTTGAAAAGCAAACAGATGCTCATGGATCACTGCTGATGCTTCAATAACATGCCATTGAATTCAGTGCCACCATCCCTGCTTTTTTTGTAAGGTAATTTCCCTGAGTGACTATACTTGGAAATGATTTATGCATGAGCTGGCTGGCTGTCGCATCTACCAGATTTCAATACAATCAATCCTGCAATTCATGTCTGGCTATTAAGTTAATTCCTCTGCTCTCAAAAAATGAGTTCCTAAATGTGTACTGTTAGCATATTCTCATGGATATATTATTTCTATCTTGATATTCCTCATCAAAAATAGGAAAAAAAAGGACAAAAAAAGAAAAAAACAGCTGAATGCTCAGCCAATTGTTTTGTGTCTTCAAGATTTAAAGAAAGTGTATGTCTGAGTGTGTATGTGTGCATATATCCACAATCCTTCTAGTATATGTTGTCTCTTCTCCCAATGCAGATGTTCTTCAGTGAAATTATGTGTAAATGCTAAGTGGTGAGCAAAACTAGTTATGTGTCTTTGAAGAAAGCAAAATTCTCTCATTTTACCTGGAGAAGGCATTGCTAAAGAGTCCAGTGAGAAATGTATTAGCAACTGCTGAAGGTATTAGCAGTGCAGGGGTTCAAGGATTCAAGACGTTTTTCTAGAGAGAAGCAGGGGGAAGGAAGAAGAGGGTTTCATATTAGGTATATGGTATCTAGGAGTAAGTCCTGTTCTTTTCTAATAAGGACAAAGCACCAAACTTTCCTAAAATGAACTATCAAGAACATTGCAAAGCAGCTGCTTCAGGCCGGAATGTCATAAGAGAAGCCAAGAACAGAAACGAAAGTGTTCAACCTTAGAGCAGTACTACACTGAGTTTTGCCTTGCACCGCCAAGGGAGAGAATCAGTGACAGAAAGCTGAAGCAAGGAACATTTGACAAAAGAAAATGGGGTTTGTGGTGTGTTTGTAGTATGCTAGCCACTAGAAAACACACCAGGAGCAGTGGGCATTCTTGTCCCTGGCATTTTTAAGTTGAAATTAGTTTTTCTTCCTAAAAATGTATTCCATATTCAGAAAATAGCTGAACATATTTTCACACATTTTATCAGAAGAACCCATACTTACATAAATCTGTGGTTCAGAGTGAATTCTACATGTGGCATAAGGAGATGTTTACTCAGGGCATACTTCATCCCAGTAAACCTTTTGCGTCTGGTCCCTTATAAGCTGCTTTCAGTCCCCATTAATGCTGTTGCCTCTCCTACTCTGTTCTCCCTCCTTCCAAACCCTAATGGCAGGAATCTTCTCCCAGAGACAGGCAACCAAATGGCTCCATAGTCAGCACTTTTAGAAGAACCATAGGTTGTAGAAGACAGAGTGTTCTCTGAAAATTTATGAAGAAACAAGCTTTTAAAGAGTTGCAGTTATCTGAAATATAAATTATCCACCTGAAAAGATGGTCACTGAATGAGGTCTTTCGTCAAGAGGTCATATTAGATGTTTAAAATGGTCCCTGTTAATAAATAAAATTACAAATATGTTCTCATCCACAAGCATTTAGGAGGAAGTCTTAAATGTCTTACCTTGTAAACCTTGACTAAAAGTGTTTGCTTCTTTGGTATTCATACTGCAAATGATTCATTTCTTTGAATATTTCTTCATGAACATCAAAATTAGAAATTGTATTTCAGTTTTTTTATGTAGTGGCTTCCTGATCTTGGATGGAAAAGAAGCAGTTTTTCAAACAAAGAGCAAATCCTGTCTAAGTTTCATTATAAAAATGTGCAGAGCTAGTAGACTCCTCCTATGGAGTCTGGCTCGTCATGGATACGTAGTATATGGATGCTATCCTGAGTTATTAGTATATCACATATGAAAAGCTAAGAAAAATATATATTTATGTGCAGATAATGACTTTCTTATCCTTATTTACCTGCTCAAGATGTTTTTCTCTGTGTTCCCTTAGGAATTATACTCTCAGTCCTATGATGCTGTTGGTGTGATGTTTGCTTCCATTCCCGGATTTGCTGACTTCTACTCCCAGACTGAAATGAATAACCAAGGAGTAGAATGTCTGCGCTTGCTGAATGAGATCATTGCAGACTTTGATGAGGTAACACCAGCCATTAGAGATAATTTGATCCTAACCGCTATATATTTAATCCTAGATCATCGAATTTACTAACCTACTTCCAATAATTGTGCATTTTTGATCTAATTATTACAATATTCTATTTTGCTTTTTTTACTTAGTATTGTCAAGCATTGGTCTTAGTATTGCCAGTAAGATAGAGATTGAAATCAATATAATCACTCGAAGATAAATATACATAAATAAAACCACAAACTACTCCAATCTGCTAGAAGGAGAATATGCCTTCATTTTCTAGAAGAAAGAACTTGCAACAGCTCTGGGAAATAGTGGCCCGAATCCTAACAGAAACATATAGGACAAAAAAGAGAAGAAAAGTCAGCATAGATCAGTCCCCAGGGTAACTAATGACAGCTGTAAGCAAGGAGAAATTGGAAACTGAGAAGGTAGCATGGATCAAGCTGCAAACTCTGCCAAGTAGTTAATAGGGCTGCTAAGATAGATGGTATTAGGTACAACAATGAGTCCAAGAGGAATTAGGAGAGAAAAGGGGTAAAGGATAGCCTCAAGAAGAACTCTGAAATATCTTAAGAACTAGGAAGTGCATTAAACTAAGGCTAAATGTATTTAGAATGAGGAATTTGAACCTACTCCAAGTGATGTGCAATAGTTGGTAAATAGCCTAGACTGCCCAAGTAAAAGAAGTGGAATTTTACTCATTTGAGTTTAACAGAGAGATTGGACCTCTGACCCAGGATGGAAAATCCAGGTTGGAAGGGGAGAGAAACAAGCACCTATGACTACTTTTGGTAAAGTTCTTTGATGAGAAAGAGAAAAATGTGAAAAAGAAAAAAAAAGCTCTTTCACAGTTCTGCTGAGTAAGGCAAGACTGGCACTAAGGTTGAGTCCACAAGATTGAGTTTTTGGTGCAAGTCTATAATGGATGCCTAGTTTTTGAATCCACATAAAGATACTTCTTACAGATTAAGCCCCTAGAATTTTTTTTCCCCCCCAAAAATTAGTACTGTCAGAGTTTAGGCCTTTCTAGGGTTCAGATGGAGATTTAAGAATCAATGCTGGAGTGTGGAGAAGGGCTTTTTTTTTTTTTTTTTTAATTTAGTCCTTCCCCAGTCTTTGTTTAAGCGCATACCTCTCTTTGAGGGTCTAGCCTAAGGAATTTTGTTTTGAAGGAAGCTATCAGAGGGAAAGATGAAAGTGGAAAAGGTGGAAGGTGTAAGACTGAGAAAAAGATATCAGGGGAGACTTTTTCTTTCTTTTTTTTCTTTTTTTTTCTTCAGTCCCAAGCAGCAAGTATGTAAAACATCTCACATATTTTGAAGAATTTATTGCTGCATTGCTCCTGTGAAAGTTATCTTCAATTTATTAGTGGAAAACCAAGGCGCAAAGGGGTCTTTCGTGCAGTTGTTTGAAAACAAAGATACATGTGCCCAAGAAAGAAAATAGAATCTAAGTAACCCAGGCCAGGGCCTAAACTACACCTTTACCCTCCCTCATCTTGTACCTCTTCATGAGGAAGCTCAATAGTGTGTTAGTTCATCAATGCTGGACCAGGGTCGAGCTTATTAAATTGTGACAAAAAACAAAACTGGGAGTTTATCTATGTAATTTACAGAGGAATGCAGGGTACAGCTTGATGCATCCTTGTGCAGTCTGGCAGGAAACTAAACTGTTCTCCTATGAGATAAGCTCTGCCACCTGCTGAGACCTTGAACAGCTTTCTATAAAGGTATAAACACTTAATTCTTATTTCTGGGATCTTGCACAACTGTCAACATGTTTCTTGATTAATAGTTTTGTTTTTCTTTCCAGATATGATTAAAAATGTTATAGCTCAAATTGAATGTAAAGTCTATTGCTGTGAATTAATTTAAAATATTTTCTCATGCACACTCATGTAATCTTCACAGCAAAATTGCATTGTTGCTGTGGCTATTATTGAAGACAACTTTTTCATCAAAAACCTGACATAATACTGCATTGAGGTCCCTAACACCTGTTCTGTAATTAATAAAGGGGCTAATTAGAGACCACATTATATCCCAGACATCTTTAGTTAAATAATAGATATGTTCTTGATATGGGTAGTAAATGAAATTATGTGATCCCCACTGACTTCCAGCATAGTCATGCCATTAGTTTAATCTGTCCAAGCAAATTGAAAATAGATATTACAGCCAGAACAACTGAAGTAAGGAATCCTTCCCATGGAGAAAGAACCAAAAGTCACCTCAGGTACAACATTTCACTGGACCATAATGTTTCCATTCGACTATAGACTGACACTGAGGGAAGTCACTATCCCTTTCTTTTCATGATGTTTTTTTTTCTGACATTGTCTTGATGTAGCCCTTGAAGAAAAGTGCAGCTTGGGAAGAGATTATTAACCACGGAAAAAAAGTCACTCCTCAGCATTGCTTTGCCTACATATTCACATCCACACATAAAAGTCTTAAGATGGGATTCTACTCACTAAGCATGGGCACCTGGTGTGATTTGTCCATGCGCACCATGTCCTAAGGTATCTCTGGCAGCCACATGGAACTGACAGATGTGATACTTCACTTTGAGAAAATTTATGCTGTTTCAAAGCAAACCCTGGCACACAGCCAAGAAACTTGCTCTAGGGCATCTGAGGTGATGCCACATGCCCATGTTTAAGCCACTGAAATATGTTCTTAATCTCAAAACAGGTTCTACCCTGTGAGTCCCCTCCTTGACTTCCACAGGTAAAAGCAGTAGGAAGGCTGCATGCGTAGGATGATAGAGATGTTTCTGAATGAAAGCAGATGAAAAAATTCCAAACACACCTTGCTTGGAAAGTGTGATGGTGACAGGAGACTGGTTATCTTTGCGTGTTTTCTTTTTGTTTTGAGGACTTGTCTTTTCATCTTTCCACCCGGATCTGTTATTGTATTTTCCAGATAAGGGATCTATGTAAGGGAGTCAAAGCCAGACAAACCAAAACTGTGAACAGTGGTCTTACAAACCCTACCATCACCACCTGCACAGAGCAGGAGTCCACAGGAGACTCAGGATCCAAGGCTAATTCTTTCTTAGGAAACCTGATCCAAAATAGGCACTTGGGAGAAGGTGTTTCTTAAAGCACCATTTTACCCAGGATTTTTTTTTCCTAATGGCCCTGAACAGTTGGCTTTCAAATTTTCTAGGCTTTTTGTCTACTGAGGCAGAATTTGAGGCATTACATCTGGACTAACAAAAGGAGATCTTTTATTTGATGTATAACATCATTATAGAATCCAGTTATATGTGACTTCCTACTTTGGACACTAGCACAGAGAGGCTGACAGGAATATTTCATGCATCAATTAACAAACATGAGCTTTGCAGATCTGCTTTTATAATTGCTCTTTTTTTTTTTTTTAATGGCTGTAGTTTTAATAACACACTTTCAGGGCTAAACTCCCGTTCCCGGAGATGCTATACCAAAAAATAATATAAAGACATTTCTCCTATTCTGAAGATTATGAGTCTTGGTGGAAATGATTTTCTATCTAGTCTTTTTAATCTATCATTTATGTATCTCTGTGATGGTGCAGTTGGGATTTGTGTTTTAATAAGAGCTTTCTAGTTCATGAATTGTTTATTTATTTGGGTAGAGTCCCTCTTTTTCTTTATCTACAGTGGTTTAGATGATATTTAGGACCACATATTTTAATATGTTATGTTGTCACAAATAGAGATTCTACTAGAAAACAGAATCTTGTTTTCAGACTGAACAGATTACTTCATAATCGTGACATGTCTTGAAATGTTCCCATTTGTACTACTTGAATGTGTTTTATTGCATGTATGTGCTATGGGGTCTTACCCAACAGCTGACCTCCATTTAACCTTAGATTTACATGGATCACAGCTATTTGTTGCTTTTCAGATGTTCACCACATTCTACTATTTGAAAATATTTTCCAGACTATGTTGGTAAATTTGCAAGCTCATTTAAAACACCAAAATATATAACTGATTTAGAAACAATTCCCCATATCTTCCCTCTGTGTTAGCATCCATCATTCTATCACATTCCAAATAAACTAGAAGGCAAGTGAATCCTTATTTGAAATGGGAACAAACCCAACTAAGAATGAACCCAGATTATAAGAAGGATTTAACAGGGAAAAAATGAGATTTGGAAATAATGATGAATGGTAAAAAAAAGAATATAACTTGTGATTCTTTCCTTTAAATTGCCTAATAACTAACAGACTAATCTCTTCTTAAAAACATTTGTTTTAGTGATTTATTGCACTTATTAAATTATTGTGTTGTTTGCTATGATTTCCAGTAACCACTTGGAAATAAAAAAAATTCTGTTTCCTCACCAAAATAATTTTCTTCCTTGTTGACACACCAGGGGCTCTCAGATTGCTCATAAAAGATGAGTTATGAGAAGCAGTGCTTTACTCTAAAATCACATTTGGAAGGGCAGCCCTTGTAAGCGAGAAAAATAGACAATGGACTTTACTAGTGGTCTGAAGAAAATGCAAAGTGGGTCAAGTTTTTGGACTTCCCTGACTTGGAAAGGAGCCATTGACCGTATGGCTTTGCGTTTCCTGCATGGAGCTTTGATGGCAGGATGGCTGCAGATGAGCTGCAGAGCTTCCCAGAGCCTGACTCTGGGTGACGTAGGCTGCAGTCAGCTCAATGTCTGGGGATATTTTGTGATGTGCCTTTGATATGTTTCTCCGTTGGAATGAAATAATCCCTTTAGCTTTTAATTGACAGGATGCTCCAAACCGCTATTTAGAAAAGGAATGCATGACAGTGTATAAAAGAAGAGGAAAAGCTTTCATTATTTTGCTTCCTGACCACAGCATGATTTTTTTCCATTTAAGCCCCAACTAAGTTAAGCCTTTAGAACTGAAATTTTTAAAGTCCTTATCTGTGATCTCTTTTTCATTCCACCCAGACCTATGTAACCATATTGATTCCTACATCTATTACAAACCACCTTGCCTATATCTCCCTGGGTGTTTGGGTATTAACCCCTGTAAGAATCTCTGAAGACTGACAAGGCAATAGGTGCTGGGTTCCCCTAAATCTCTGCTGTGCCTGAGGTTTAGACATGTGACAGCTTGACCTCTGCTGGGCATCTTTAAAGGAATATAGGGTTTTAGTCTTTATTTTGCAGAAAATTCTGAGTTAAACTATGAATAGAGGCTGGAAACAAGGCCCATACTGGCATTCTTACTTCAATGAGTGCTTTAGTCACTACAATAAACTTATTGCCCTTCTTGCAGACTCTAAATCTAACAAGTTTTAATGCCTACTTAGCAGCTCTACTTAATCTAGGTAGATATAGATGTTACCACTTCCTATTTGTTACCTATATTTTCTGTAGAAGAGGTAAATACATTATAAAAATAGGGACTGAACCACCCAACTGACATGTTATGTCTGGTCCACACAGTATATGAGGAGAGAGAGATCACTGATAAAAGTTCTTTGGAGGCATCTGCCTCCATCCACTGACTGTAAGATGGGCAGATAGTTATTTTAGGTGGACTAAAATCCTTTCCTCACTGGTCTTATCATTTGAAAGCTTTCTGTAGCAGCACTTATTTTAAGCAGACTGAGTTACTGAGAAATAGATTTCGGAATGTTTTTAAGTGATCAAATTTTCTTACATCCACATACACACAGGGTTTGTCTTCACTAATTTTAGGTGACTACATTGCATGTAGTGCAAGAATCATATGCATTTGTGTTAACTTCGATTATGTATGCCTTGTATCATCCATCATGTGCTTTTTCCAAACGGCCTTTCAGAGCACAGCAGGATTTAATTTGCCTGTGCTCTGTGAGTAGACTGTACAGCAACAATTCAGAGATTTAAACTCGGTGTATCCCAGAGTCTGGGATGAACTGAGGGCCACTGCCAGCTCGAAGAAACCATGAGTGTAACGATTCATTTTGAAATCTATGAAAGAATTAGAAATTAAAGAAGTAACTGTATTTTCTTACATTTTACTAGCTCCTAGGTGAAGAGAGATTTCAAGATATTGAAAAAATTAAAACCATTGGCAGCACATATATGGCTGTGTCAGGATTATCACCTGAAAAACAGGTAAGAGAGTAGCCTTTTATAGGAAGTCAAGCTTTTGGTGTGATCTCACCCTTAACGTCAAAGAATACTAGTGCCATTTTTATACATATTCACAGAGCTATGTTTGTTAAAAGAAAACAGACATTTTGAGCTTCTGGCAGACAACAGTTGCACTTTTTGATGAAGTGAAATGGCAACTTGTGCTCTGTACAAGAACCATATGGATTCTTTCCTCAAATTTAGGCTTATACGAGGGAGAGAAAAAAAATATCTATCATGCTGATGATTATCCACAGGAGGTCTGTCTATATCTCAGGAGCAGAAACTCAGAGCAGAATCTGGTTAACAGCCTCCAACAAACTATGGGCAGTGAGGCTGTATTAAACTAGCAACAGCAAACTTGGACTAGTGTGAGGTTCATTTTTAAGAGAAAACAATGCATTTGAACTTTCATTGCAAAGTTGTAGCTATATAGCTACAGATGGCAAAATAAACTATACATCAGAAATAAAATAGAGGCATTATTTCAGCTAAACAATCTAATGAAGCCAGAAATCAGCACTCTGCCTTCTCTTTCAGAGGTTCAAATCAAGCTAAGAGGAAAACCAGACACAATGGACACATGCACGATGACACATATACACCTTAAGAAGCCAGATGAAAGAAATTCATTCATAATTATATTCAAAACTATGGCTGAGAGTTCTCAAAGAAAGATAAAGCTCTAAAATACACCCAAAGGGAAATCAGCAGTTGTTGCAATGTGCCTGGCACAGTGGGTGCTGCCTCTGTCCAGGGAACATCACCACAAATGCAGGTGCGCTGCCCAAACCAACCAGAGAGTGAGAATCAGATATGCCCACCTTTTCTGCAACTGGCAGGAAAGCAGAATCCAATTTGGAGTGAGCTTGAAAACCCAGACATTTTCCAGTGTTTGTTTAGAATACATTGCAATACACGTCAAATGCAACCAGCTGAGTAACGCCCACCTATGGAATAACAACAGTGATGCTGAAGGCTAGAAATCCACAGAACCAAACCCGCATGAGGTTTTTGATTGTTTCAGTTCAAAATACTTCTTGAAAAGATGAGCAAAGAAAGACTGAACACTAGAGAAAAGGGCTGCTTACAGGTACATGACTCCTAAGTAATGTGTCTGACTCTAGATACAGGTAAAAACTCACATAGGTTGAAGAAATCTTTCCTGCATTTCCAAAACTGATAAGTTCCTCTGCTGTTTGAACTATATTAGTCTAAAGGAATCAGTATTCATGATTTAAATATACTTTTCATGATTTAAATAAACCTACCTTCATACATATATGTATTCCACCTTATCAGCATCAAAGAGGTTAAGGGTGCTGCAGGAGTGATGGTTCACTCTGAATCAAATAAGGCTAAAGAGAAGGAAAGGGCAATATGTGACCAGATCAGGATGACACTAAGAAGATCAAGGATCAACTATACGGATGCTCAAACAGCAAAGGGTTGGACTGGATGACCCAATGGGGCCTCCCAATTCTTTATTCCTATTGCCTGGATCTTCCTTTAATGAACAATTTGTTAGGCTTTAGAATAGATGGTGCAACATCATAACATTACTGGGTCAAAACACCACCCAGTCAGAATATTTAAGGAGATTCTTACTCCCTCTGGACAGCCCCTGCCCCAGGGGAATGAGAAAGTTCCTATTCCATGGGAATGGGAACCATAGAGACTGCTCCTCCCACCTCCATTCATATCCACAGGGGAAGGAGCCTGACACTGCTCTCTCCTGCTTGTACAGAACCCAAGGAAAGAAACAGGGATTCACTCTGCTTCTTCAAGTGGAATAAATTTATGAGACAAGGAACAGCCACTTCTCTGTCTCCTACAGTGTATTAGGTTGCCTGGCTTACATGGTCAGTTTTCCATCCCTGGGAGCACTGGAGTCAGTGCTTTTCCTGAGTGATGGCTTCACAGGAAAATGATGTATTTCTCATCTTTTCCTCTACTTCTTGCTTACCTGGGTGTTCCTCCATTCTCATTAATTTTTCTCTCTCCCGCTCAAGTTATCTAAATCCTTGCCTTTCTCAGTCTTAGGTGGATTTCACATGTCCAGTTAATTTCAATGATTGCCCTTCAAATTCCTGCTAGGAATTTACTTTCTTCTGTGCTTCACAGTAAGATTTCTCTGCATTCAGGTATACAAATACTGTAATATAAATGGGAAATGTTATTTCACCACTAATACTACCCTACCACCCTTGGGTCTGCATTTTTAGACTGCTCTCAAAAATTGCAAATTCTTGGCACTTAATGGGGATGGATGGGAACTGTCATACAGGCAAACATTAAACATTTATAACATATTCTTTTATAATTGACTTCTTAGCAATGTGAAGACAAATGGGGACATTTGTGTGCTCTGGCTGACTTCTCCATAGCCCTGAATGAAAGCATACAGGAGATCAACAAGCATTCGTTTAACAACTTTGAACTTCGCATTGGTAAGCCGAGTTCACGCATGAGAATTAAAATGTAATTTCACCTGCAATATCCAGCTCTGCAAGGAAATCTCAGAAGCATTGCAAGCACATGTTCCTTTTAAGAGATTATATGTCCTGTTTTTACATTGACGTAATCACAGGCAAAGCTAAAAATAAGATATACACTGTTCCCAGAATATCAGCTGTAATTTAGGGGGAGTAGAGATGTCCTAAGTTTTCACAAATTTTCTATGGATAGCAAAATTATCTATTGTCTTTGACAAGTCTGACAAAGAGCCAATATGGGGTAAGACCAAGTCTATGAAGTAATTTGGCTCTGCACAGAAATTGAATTACAGTTCTGACCTGACCTGGCTCAATAGCAGTACCTCTGAACTGCTGTGATAGGAACTTATTCTACTTGGTGAAATGACCCCAGTGGTACACAAAATGATGCCCAGAATATATGCTCTATAGCAGGAACACATCTGGTGTCTTCTCATTCAATCTGAAGCGCTTGTCAATACACCAAAATCTGCCATAAGAAACATGTGTTTTACATGCAATCCTGTCAAACAAAAATTGAAATGCGTTAATCAGTCACAGCATGAAGGGGTGCAGTATCTGCTATTTCTGAGGGCTTTCTGACAGTTCCCAAGATATGTCAGGCAAACACATCACTTCTGATGATTTTATTATACATCATAAATGTTTGGAAAAGCATTTGGAAAGCATTTCTATAACCAATTTCTAAAAATTAATCTACAAAAAAATCCTCCAAACATACTTTCCCTGAAGAATAAATCGCCTTTCACTGGCATCAGATTTATTCTTAAAACAATGCTGTAGAAAAGAAATAGCTTCTTCCACATTATTTCTTATTTTGTACTTAACAAACATTCTTACAGAATGGATTCTTCTAATAACTGAGTAAGAATACTTCAATATTTTTACTTCAAAGAATATAGGAATGCATATTCCTATATTCTTGACTGTAGAGCACAACTAGGGTTGCCTTCAACAAATGTAGAACCAGAAAGATCTTTCCTGTTACATAAGAATCAGTTTAAAGGAGCTTTGAGAACAGTGCACAGATTTAAGATGCCAGGGAAATATTAAAGTCCCACTGTGACAGGTTCGCTGTAAAATTACTGTGAAGGTAGCACTTTTCATGTTCTCTTCTCTTCTTTCTTCTCTTTCCTTCTTTCTCTTTCTTTCTCTCTTCCTACATCTTTTACCTAAGTTTAGAGATAAGTGTATCTGAATCAGGCTTCTATTTCTTAAGTGAAAACATGACTTTCAACTTTCCTTGTCTAACTCACTATTTCCTCTTTTTTTTTTTTTTTTTTTTTTCAATAGGGATTAGCCATGGCTCCGTCGTAGCAGGAGTTATTGGTGCTAAGAAACCCCAGTATGATATATGGGGCAAAACAGTTAATTTAGCGAGTCGAATGGACAGCACAGGTGTTAGTGACAGAATACAAGTGCCTGAAGAAACGTATCAGATCCTGAAGGACCGGGGATTTGCCTTTGACTACCGAGGAGAGATTTATGTTAAAGGTATCAGTGAACAGGAAGGAAAAATCAAAACATATTTTCTTCTAGGAAGAGTTCAACCAAATCCTTTAATCTTACAACCAAGAAAACTGACTGGACAGTATTCATTAGCAGCTGTTGTATTAGGACTTGTACAGTCTCTTAACAGGCAAAAACAGAAGCAAATTCTTAATGAGAACAATAACTCTGGAATCATAAAGGGACATTACAATCGGAGGACTTTGCTCACTCCTGGCGGATCTGAGGCAGCAGCCCAGGCAGAGGGGACTGATAAAACTGAATTGCCATAATTGACATTTTGTTTGTGTTCTTTTTTTTTTTTTGTATTTCTTTTATATATAAAATAAATATACAAATAAAAAGGGTTTAATTTTTTTTAAAAGAAGTGTGATTATTTTCTGGATGTGATATTGCTATGAGACTCAAATTCCTTACATTCATCAAATAATTCACCTTTGAGTGTCTAACCATAATAGCTGTAGGCTCAGCACAGCAGCATAGTCTCACACTTTCTGTTACCTGCAAATAGGGGCAAGAATATACCCATGACCGGACTAATCTAGAATATAAATTGTGGAGGGAGTTAACCATGGAAAAGCAGGCAACTTTATCTGTTCTGGTCCAGTTGAAGCAAAGGCAATAAGGAGATTGGGTAGGTTCTTCTCAGCTTTGATCGCCTTGAAGTACAGACCTGTATGCATCTGAGACAGCTGTCTGGTCTCCACACTAATCACAGAAAAGTTGGTCAGGAAAGCAAATTTATCTTAAGGTGTGAGTTATTTGCCCAGATATGGGAATCTGGGAGGCAATGATGGGAGAAGAGATGGATCTTGCACAGACTTCACTGACTCCATTGAGTCCACTGGCTATGGAGCCTAAAATGTCTTGCTTAGTTGATAATGGACAGAGGAATTGTATCTTGCTACCTCACTTGACCTTTAGCTCCCACACTAGAGAGTCATGGCTCTCCTGTAGGCCCTATGACATATCTGTCAGTCCCACTTGGAGGATTAAGATGTCCTAGGGTATCTCAAATGGCACTAAACAGCACTTGAATAGCAGCTTGAATGACTTTTCTGGAATCTACAGCTGTGCCTACTGGCAAGGCAAGGAATTAATCAGATTTGCTGGAGTCACTTTCTAGAGATTAACTCACAAGGTATCATTCTTAATCCCATCCCCAGTCTGCATTCTACCAAATGAGCTCTCTTCAAGGATACAAAATGAGTTTGTGTTGAAGTACAGTAGAAGACAAAGCTCACTGCTAAACTCTTGTTTAGTTTTCTCAGAAGCAAGAAAGGCCAAGACTAAGGTTTCCCCAATTTTCTGTGTGCCAGAATAGAGATAATCCTGTTGGCTTGCTACAAGGTCACACCAAGGTGCTACACACCTTATATCAAAAGCAGAAGAGGATAATTCAGGCTTCAGCTTCCCCTTGGAAACAATAAACATATTTCAAAGTTGCATTGCTGCTGTGATTCACATGAATTTGTAAAGTGCACAAACAAACTTTCTTCAGGCCTGTATGCTCAAAGCACCAAGGTTTGTCTCAGTAAACCTTATCATTAATATAAACTGCAAATGGCAGGAGCAGAGCCTGGAATCATGCAGCAATCCCCAGCCAAGACCTCTCACATCCAATACTGTGTGACACACAGATTTTTCACAAGCAAACACAGTTCTTGCCAGGAGGCCATTATCCACTCCTTAACCAAAACTGAGATTCCTCAAGAGTGCTACCACTGGACCAGGCCCATTTTTATAAAGGCAGCCAATGTGTCTAGGAAATTATGATTCCCTACATTGTACTATTTACTAGAATTTCCTGATAAAAAAGACATCAAAACTTGAAAATGTAGCAGAACAAAAATATCACCTTTCTTTGTAAAATATTGTGAAGATGGGTATGCGGTACAAAATTTAATCATATTGGAGCTGGCTTCAGAAATAGAAAATAATATAAATGACCAAAGAAATTCCATAGAAAATTGCATCAATGAAGTACAAGTCTGAAAACATAGAGCAAAGAGCTGCCTAAAATATTACAGCCAGTGTAAATCTTTCAGTAGGAGAGCTCTTGCTCCAATTTGATTACCTCTTCAAATTCCCACAGATACTATCTTTCAATGCAGGGTAGGAATCTTGGAAGGTAGAGCCCTCAGACTACCCAAGGTAACAGTGATACTGTAGGAGATGTAGGAAAGGAAGAGATGAAGCAGTTAAATTAACTTCGTATTTAAGGACATGTTTTATGCCCTAGAGTAGTAAATTTTAGCTGTTTAAACTAGCTCATTAAACAGCTTTCCTTCTCAGCTTATTTCTATAGCGGAAGGACTCACTTCTCCATGTTCCCAAAACATTTAATTCTGGCTAAATATGTATCCCTGTTGAATGCGTTCACTAATTCTCATCACTGCTGCCAATCCCTGTAATGACAATTAGCAGCAAGTATTAACTAGACAATGGGATTTGAGGTTGGAGATGTGAAGGTAACTTTACAGCTTCTTAGCATGGGCACAAATCTCCTTCTTTGCACAGATACAGATGACTTTTTGTGTTATCCCCTTCAAAATCCTCATTTGCATAACTATGTTCCCAAGCAGAATTGTCTGCTAATGAAGTCTGAGTCTGTGGTGACCAGATAAAGAATTTCCTAAATCCGCTCATTCCCATGGAATAATTCTTTCCTGGAATTTCACCTGTTGTTATTTGTCTACATGAAGTGGCTGTTTGTCACCCATGCAATTATATTGTTTGTTTCTTTTCCAAGTGTGATGACCTTGAGGTTCAGTAATGCCGTTGCCTGCTGTAGAATCTCTTTTCAATGGAATAGTAGCCGTTATTTATGCACACAGTCTCACTCCATTAATTTATGGCATCATTAGAGTATTGAGTTTTCTCTTACTACTCTGTCCTAAGGGTTTCTTGTTCATACTGGTTAGCACTGTTCGTACAAGAGCGAACTATAAAGCCAAAACATGTGGTTAATATCCTTTAAATTGTAGACACCTGTGTAATAAAGGCGTATTATCTTGATATTGTAACACTTTGTCCAGACTAGCTAGCCAATATCGAGGGTAAGAGTCTTCCTATTAAGAGGAGAAAGCACTGGCAAAAACTAAGTTCTTTGTTGTCACCTTATTTATTTCAACAAATGTGCAGACCAGAAACAAGCAGCAGTCACCTGCTTGCCTAGAAATTCCTACCTCAGTCCCTTCAACAAGCTTTGTGCCATAAGTTCTTCTAATTTAAATATTTTCTGGCTAACCAGACTGAAATCCACAGAATACCTCTAGGAAAAGCAACATTCGATTAGCTACATCAAGGGTAGTTTATGCCAACTTCGAAGTACCAGTTTTTTTTCGTTAATGCAGATGGAATATTGAATAGTTATATAGCAGTTCTGTACTGAAATTATTCTGCAGTGCTCCATGTGCATACATCTGGAACTACAACCCCTATATTCTAGCAAAGCCCAAATCTGTGGCAAGTGTGCTGGTGTTGGCAGGATTAAAAAAATATTCTGGAATATAATTCATACCATTAATGAATCTTACTAAAACTGTCTAGAATGTAACAGTTGCTTACCAATACCTGTCGGGATATCTATTCTTAGCCCACATTAAAACTCAAGAGAAAAAAATAGTTTACCTCTATCTAGAACAAAGCCAAGGCATCTCATCATCTAGAGGAGTGAGTGCTAACTGAAAAACAAGCAGTTCAAATAATAGCTCTTGCACATACAAGAAAAATACTCAATATTGTCAGGTTTAATTCATTCCTGATTACTTCACAGTCATTTGCAGATTTTGAAAAGCATGTGCACATTTTTTTTGTGCAGATGAGCACAAAAATTCATCTGATACTTCTGCAATGATTGGAACTTCATCTCCCTTTCCTCAGATCTATGGGAGTTAAAGAGTTTCCAGGCTGCAAATATCCAGCATAGAATCATAGAATCCTTAAGGTTGGAAAGGACCTTCAGAGATCATCTAGTGACCTCTACACGAGCAGGGTCACCTCAAGCACATGGCACAGGATTGTGTCCAAGCGGGTTTTGAAGATCTCCAGAGAAGATCTCCACAACCTCTCTGGGCAGCCTGTTTCAGTGCTCTGTCACCCTCAATGTCAAGAAATTTTTCCTTAAGTTCCTGTGGAACTTTTGATGCTTTAGTTTCTGGCCATTTCCTCTAGTTCTATCAGTGGCCACCACTGAAAGAAGGTCGGCCCCATTCTCACTCCCTTCCTTGAGGGAGGGAGCATGGAATGAGCATGGGAATGGTGTCTAACAGCAAAATGGCCAGTACTGCATGCCATCAAGTTTCAGCACTGGAAGCTTCTCCAGCACTGACTTGGCCAACATGCAGCAAAATGATCAGAGTACAAAATAACCACATCCTCACTTGTACATGGTCAGTGCTGTAATTGCACAGTCAATTTGTTAACTTCCTTGTGAATCCTTTTCTGCTGCTTATTAGCTCTCCATGTAGAACAATATATTTAATTGATTTAGGCCACTTTAGTAGCTTAGGCACCATTCAAGGCACCATTCACTTCCCGCACGCACACAGACTCTTTATTTTTGCCCATTTTCCATTGAGCTTTTGTTCAGATGATGGCTGTCAGGAGTTACAGAGCTTTCCAGGAACTGATTCATTCAGCTTTTTCATGCAAAAATGACAGCAGTATGCAAGGCTAGTAAGACAGCATTGCCTTTAAAATGCCATTCAGACTACCTCCCATGACCAAGACCTCCCTCACTCAGAAGTATTTTTTCTGCCCAATAAATATGTTAATGTTGATATCCTATTCACAGTGCATATACATTTTGAGGGCCTGTAAATCAATGCCTCCTTCAGCTTTGTAGTATTATAAAACAAGCACCACTATTGCCAAATGGCAGCAACAATGAGATTCAAAAGAAAACAATTAATAAAAAAGTCATGTGGTTTACTGAAAATCTAAATTTTTCAAACAAAAGAAGTACGCACAATATGACTTCTGATTGCAACAGCA